ATTTATTTCCATGAAAATACATTTTTCCCAGTTTTCCTAAATCAAATGCCAGAGATCTGGTAAAAGTCTTGAGTAGCTAAAAATTTGGCCTCTTTCACAGAATTCTGGACTAAGGAAGGCTTGAAGAAAATGTTTTAATCTTCTCAGAGTACTTGCAACATTTATGAGTTTTGATGCCAAAGGAAAAGTGGTGCGGTGGCCAGCGTGCTTCTGAACCACCTGTCACCACCTGTCAGTGATGGGACAACAGTCACAGGCAACCATGCCCAGGATTTTTACACAGAAGCTGTAGACCCAAACTTGGGTCCTTGTGCTTACAAAAAACACTTTCTCAGCTCTGACTTCAGCAACTCTTTTGAAGTCTTTTGTTTTCACAATGATTTCATTTGTGTGTGGTAGGGGTGCATGCACATGCCACAGCAGACATACAAAGATCAGATGACAATCTGAGGAAGTTGGTTGTACCCTTCCACCATGTGGGTACTGGAAATCAAACAGGTCATCAGGCTTGGCAGCAGATGCCTACCTTTACCTGATGAGTCATTGCTCAGGCCCTAAAAAGGTAACAGCAATAAATAGATAGATAGATAGATAGATAGATAGATAGATAGATAGATAGATAGATAGATAGATAAAACAAAAGTAGAAAATGCCAACTAGTTAAAATAAGCTGAGACAAACTGCTCACAGGTTGATGCAATTAAATAAGGTTTTAATTCTTCACTCAGTTTTTGTTTTCAAAGACATAAATTTTCCATATTTATGTAACTGTCTAAATTCAAAATATTTATCTACTAACCAATAGTATTAATACACTGAGAAATTTAATAAATTTTAAATATGTCAATTATAAAATTATTAAGATCTAACAGGTCTCAATACCCAACCATTTCTACCCTGATTTATTACTTGGTACTAGAATTACTGTTTGATGGTTCTTTAGTTTGTGAATTGTAACTAATATTTTCTACAGTTTTTATGCTATTGTCCTAAAGCAGAAAACAGTTGTCCTCCTCAGTCTAGCCTTCAGCTGCTACAAACAAAAATATAACAGGTTGTATGGTAATTAAGATAAGTACTGTCAGTTGGAAACAAAAGTTAAGGTGCTAAAGAAATTCTAAACTTACTGAGACTGAAACATTGAAAAATTAATGGCTCAATAGAAATTGTACTACATTTAAGTCAGATCTGACTTGGCTTAGATGCCCACTGTCCCTGACCTAAAACTGACAATCATTCTGCATTGTGGAACTCAGTGTATAGTATATAATGCAATCATTACATAATTAAAATCACCCCACAAACACATACACATTCAGCTACAACTTGATTCTACTGCTAAGATTAGTATGCACAATGAGTCCATGATGAAAAATATATAGTTTAATCAAAATGTCCAACCTTGGATTCCAAGTGGAGCTACTCCAAGTCAGTAACTATATATTGAGTATTTACATAAACAGGAGGTATTTCAGGAAGAAGAGCTTAAGAAATCCAGGAGGCTAAGAGAAACTCTCTACATATTCAGCACTGAAAAATAATACTGTATGTATACTGAAAGTATGTATGTGGTACAAGGAAATAGTTGCAACAGTAGATGTAATGAAAAAAAGAAAAAGATGTCAGAGCCAAATAGAAAGAAAACTGTCCTGGGCTTTGTGGGTCAGTACCTTAAGCTCAGACTGCCTCTCTCAAAAACAGAGATCATGGAAGGAAGACACAAAGGTCTGAAATGTGTAGAACGGATAGAAAAGCAGCCAGACAAAGACAGATAAACCAACTTAAAAGGTGGATTTCCCAACCTAGGTGAAACAAGCATGCATTAAAAGGCAATCCCAGGGCAATGAAGTGTAAGGCTTTCAGGAGCAGAAACAATACTTCAGGAGCAGAGCTGCGCTTAACATGTATGAGGCTATGGGTTCAATTCCACAGACTAGAAAGAAAAAGTCACCATTAATCATTTGTTTACATTTAGCTCTCTGACTCTCCACACACTGGATGTAGAACTCGGAGAAAGCTGCTTATTATCTCTACATCTTATTTCTTTCCCATAACTCAAGATATAAAACCTTCACAGAACTATCCTCTCCCACAAAAAAAAAAATCCAAAAATTACCCCCACACAAAAAAATTATGTATAAACACATTTATATATATATATATATATATATATATATATATATATACATACAGTAGACAACATTTTGTTTGATGGAACAATACAAATTTATTATTAATATATCTCAAGTGAGATGGAGAAATAAATGTGAAGTGTTTAGAGGAGAACAAGACATGGTGGCTCACAAAATGATGCCAACATCCAGGAATCTGAAGCCACAAGTCACAGATCCCAGACCAAGTTGGGCTATATTGCAATATTCTGGGGGAAGGGAGGAGTTCAGGAGTTAAGGAGTTGGAATGGACAGTTTGACAGAAGAGGCAAAGGAAGAGGGAATAGACTCTAAATTTTGGCTTGAATACTGATGCTATTTGGTGAAATGAGAAACAAATTTGAACAAGTGTTTTTTTTAAAAAATATACTCACTCCACAATAAAATGGCAGTAGGTGATTAAATACATAGCTCCAAAGAAAGAGAAATGGGCCAACACTCATAGACAGACAGTAATTATTAAAGCTCTGGGCACTGATGAGAACTCCCAGAGACTGAATGTGCACAGTGAAGAACTGAAAATAGGGGAAAGCCAGGGAATACCAACATTGAAAGAACACCGAAAACAAGGAACCAAAGAAGATAATGATAGTCTATGGCCAGAACCAAAAGGAAAAATGTGTCTCAAAGGAAAAAGAACACACAGCCAAATCAACCTGCCAAGCAGGAGAACGAGTTAAGAACTGAGAGTATTCACTTGATTTGGCAAGTTAGTCACATGATAAATGAGTGGAGCACTGCTAGGCCCTCAACATACTGGCAGAAGAAAAGCGCATTGTGAAGACAGCTGATGAGAAAACGAACACCCTGCCGTAAGGATTCTGGGCAAAGACAAAGCAACACGACACAGGACGGAGTACAAGGCAGAGGGTCAAGTCCAGACAGAGAGATGAGGGGGGAATGTCTGTCAGAACAATTTAAGCTGACGTGTAATGCAAGAAAGGACAAAGCACAGCCACAGAACTGAGAGGAGACTCGTGTGGCCATAGAAGGATGTGGGTAGAGAGAAGCTAAAGGTTGTCTGTAGGTCACACTGGACACGACCTGTTACTGTTTGTGGATAGGGGTCATCACTCTGGCTAACAGCGTTCCCTCATTCACACTAGTCTTAATAACCTTCAGCCATTATCTTAACATCAGATAAGATTTTCTGTTTTAAAATACACAGATTACTTCTCTGTTGTGCTAGTTTTACTAACCTCGTTTTAAGATTTGGATTTTTATTTTTTATTATGTGTATCTGTAGGGAAGAAGATGCACATGAGTTTAGTGTTCTAGGAGGCCAGATAGAGAGCATCAAATCCTCTGGACCTGGAGCTACAGGTAAAAGTGAGGTACCCAAGGCTGGAGCTAAGAAGCAAGCGCCTGCACTCTGTAAGAGCATACTCACTCAACCACCGACACATCTCACTAGTATTTCTTTTTGGAGATATTTTCATAAAATAGCTGCTTGGTTTCATCATTAAATTCCTTTTTTTCTGAGGTACTTATCTTTGAGTACTGTACATCAGATGTTAAGAAGAGGCAACAAGGTGCTATTAACACACACATACAGCTAGTGAAATTTATAAACAAAAAAGTGTTGTATGAAGCTGCAGCGACAGCTTTAGTAGTTAAGGGCACTTCCTGCTCTTCCAGCCAAGTTTGATCCCTAGCACCCATGTGGAAGCTCACAACCATCTGTAACTATCATTTCAAGGGATCCAGTACCCTCTTCTGGCCTCTGTAGGCACCTGGCACACGTGTGGTGCACATACATATATTCAAGTGAAAAACTAACACTCATAAAAATAAACACACCTTTTATAAAAGGATTATATTCCATAGTTTCAGTTCTCCATTTCTTTAATCTATCACTTAAACATGTGTATATGACACTAACACAGAAAACTATTTCTGTTCAGAGCAACTGAACTGAATGTTCATGTTATTTAAATTTCTTTATCAGCCACAGAAAAAAAATCTATGGCCCTTCCATATTTACAAGTTTCAATAATAATAATAATTAATAATAATAATAATAATAATAATAATAAATTCTACCGTGTAACCTTGTATCTATTAACTATCTAGCAAGAAAGCTAGGCACATCATATAAATTATTTTTATCATTCCAGTACCTATGGAAAACATATTATTCTCCCCATCTTATAGAAGAAATAAATGCAGGGAGGTGAGGTGAAATGCTCAATGTTACAAAGTTGACATTCAAGTCCACTTCCACATGCTTGAATTTATGGGCACTAAACTAAAATGCCTTAGACTACTAACAAACTGGGTTCTTCAATATATGTCACATGAGATACGAAACCATAAAAATACAACTTTTAAATGATAAAAAGTATATCTAATTTAAATGAACATTTATAGTCAAAAGATTAACCAGACACACTCTGCTAACATGTCTTCCCTATGGCATAACTTCACTTCTAGTTGTTTCAATATTGGAAAAGACACATGAAAGGAAGCTAGAACAAATTATGATATTATATTTAAGAATAACTAGTCTACAGCAAAAATATTCCCACCTAATCCTTGGTATACAAATTCAATCCAGTGAGTTTTATTAGCAGTTAACTGCCTACTCCAAAAACATATTTGTCCCTCAAAGTTAAAAACTACAAATGGTATAATTTGTTTCAAAATCAGAAAATGTTAACTTCTGATTTAAAACACTAAATTTCTCATTTCTCTGAATTTGAAAGTCTAAATGAAAAACAAAAATGTTGTAATTTACTATGTATTTGTCATATAGTAAATTCTCCTAACAAGAATTTTTTTTCAGATAGCTAGTCATCCATCAAAATACTATGTGAAGAAGTCTAGATATTTAACAAAGAAAAACCATTGCCAGGTCATCTTTATTTTCCTTAACAAAACACACACACAAGAAAAAATTCATTTATATATCATCATTATTTTACAAATATAAATAATACCAAGAATTCAAGTACAGTCAAGTGCAGACGCAGTTCCTATTGTTAGTATGTAAACATTAACTATGTACATCACGTGCCTTTGGCCCAGCTGCAAAACAAAAAACATCAAAAGAAACACTGCACTTGACTGTTCAGTTGCATTCTTATTGAAAATTCGTACCAATGCCTATATAAATAAGGTTACAGCTTTCAGTATCACTTAATGTAAACACCTAAATAGATATTTCCTTCCCACTGGCAAATATCTCAGGAGTTAAAATTTAATGATGAAGTATTCAAAATCTTAATTATGTTTCAATCCTTAAACACTATCAAAGAAATTATTCCTAGCCAAAATTGTTCCTATGCCAAAATGGGTATTATTTACAAGTTACAGATATAGAAAACAAGGGCTTCTTTTTTTTTTTTTTTTTTAAACTTTAGAATGCACAAAGTATCTAACAGCTATGTGGGTCTCTGCACATTCAATGGTACCGCGTGCTTTTACTTTCAATGCCCAGTAGGCGGGACTTGAACACACTGACTTTGCTAGGCAATCTGAATTTGAATAGCATTAAGTATATATCTAAAAGGCAATGTTTTTGAGTACCACAAAAAAAAAAAAAAGCAATAATTGACATCAACAAGACTACAAATATCCAGTTGAAGGCACACAGGATTATTTACTATTGTGTCACCACAGATTCTCCACTTGGTTCAAGATTGGAAACAGAGTCAGCTCTGAGAACTGTTGACTTGGCCTCATTTGCTGACAATTCCTCCTTCTCAGTCTCTTCTTGTTTTTCCTCTGGCTCCTCTGAACCAGGTGTTTTTTCAATCATTTGGCTTGTCTGCTCTGTCACTGGTATTTTGTCATCTCTCTGCTCTGTACTATTATCAAGAACATCTTGTTCTTCTAAAGATTCTGTAAAGAGAAAGACATCAACTTCAGGACTATCCAAATGTCAAAACTGCTATAAATAAGGCAAAATCAAAGATAAACATATACATGTACTAAAAAACAGTAGAATGACCTATTACCTTTTAAATCTTCTACAATAAGTACTGAACTCTGTAGCATACTGCTTAGGTATTAGTACAACTGAATGATTGGAGGAAATAGACTCATACTTTTATAATTTCATCTACATTAAGCTTCTAAAGATATATCTGCAAGCTCAATGTCCAAAACTCAGGGCTCCAACAGGTTGAGATACTGTAGTGCATCAATTTTTTTTTTTTTTTTTTTGACAACTGGACACAAACTTGAATCATCTGGGAAGAGGAAACTGAACTGAGGAACTACCTCCATTTCTTAATTAATGATTGATATGGGAGGGACCCAGCCTGTGGACAGTACCACCTTTGGGCAGGTGACCTTGAGTTGAATTAAAAAAAAAAAAAAAAAAAAAAAAAAAAAGCAAGTTGAACAAGTCATGGGGAGCAAGCCAGTAAGCAACATCCCTCTGCAGTCCACACATCAGTTTCCTCCTGGAGGCTCTTGCCTTGAGTTCCTGACCCAAGGTCCCTCAGCAATGGACTATGACCAGGGAACTTGGAGTTATACAGTGAAATAAGCCATTTCTTCCATGAAATTGGTTTTTTAAGTGTTTTATCACAGCAATAGAGGATCCGAACTAGGACAATAAAAGTCTAGAAAACAAAGCAAACGTGCAATCCCTCCATTATTGAACAGAAAATTGTTTTCTTTGCACCTAAGCAAAACTGTAAACAATGTATAAATGTATGCTTTTGTGTGTGTGTGCATATATATGCACATGTATATGTGTAGACAGTACTCTTCGGGCCTTATATACATCTCTATTATTCAAGGATGAGAAAAGTCAAGATCCACCTTTCCAACTGTATGTCTTGTCTCTCTTTATCCCTATCCAAGTCCTCACTATTTAAACTTAAGAATTAGAATATGCTACATACTTTAGTGTGCTGAGACAAAGAAGGGGTCTTTTGCCTTCGGTCTACACACAGAAAGTCTTCCCCACATGAAAATTTACTCCCTTTAAATTCTAATTATTTTTGAGTTTTAATTTAAGCATCTTGATAATAATAAAGTATTTATTAACTTTCGTAAAGAATGAGGTGGAAGAAAATGAAAAGCTGTGGATTCCTTCCAGACTAATGAGGTTTGATCAAGCCAGACCACCTGAAACAGAGTACCAGGTGATCCTACATTCAAAACAGCTGGACAAAGCAGCCTGACAGACTACAGCCAGGATTTCTGCACCTTCTTAGAATCCCCCACGACAGCGCCCCTTAGCCCCTTACCAGCAGGAAGTAGTTTGGAAAGAACGATGCCCAAATTCCCAAATATTGTCTATAAATGTTTGTTTTCATTTAAATGGACTTGGTTATATTAATTAATAAATAAATAAATAAATAAATAAATAAATAAATAAATAAATAAATAAAAGAATGAAGTGGAAAGGGAGTAATAGAGGCAGCAAAAGCTTTGAGTCACCTAATGTTCAAGTCAAAGATGAAAATCTAGCTTTAAGGCATTTCCCCTTTTTTCATAATAAACCTATTATTCTTGCTAGCAGAAAAGTAATTAAACCACATGAGCCAAGCAAAAGACAAAATTTCCTATATTCAACAATGTTCCTTATGACAAACTATAAGTGTTATTGAAAAAGAAAAATCTGGTGCAAGGCCAGACTGCTTAAGGAAAGGTTACAGTTAAATTTCTTTAACATATAACCATAATTTCACAAATTAAATAGTTTTGCAAGAAAATTATGTGTATTATGTACACACCATTGTAGAAGTACTAGAAATCCATTGTTTTAGCATATTAGTTTTGAGAAACACAAACACACCTTTAGTCAGAACTTGAAAAATATTTTTAAAGTATTACCTCCGACAACAGGTATTCTGGACTCCTACCTACAGTAATCCTGTTTTACAACTACTTTCTCCTTTTATAGAATAAAAGGCCTAGATGCCACAGTTGGGGGCATCCACATACTGATGTCTTACTGTATGACAATACAAATAGTAATGATCACAAAATTAGTGAGGAATGGTCATAAACCGTACTTGTGACACATGACTACAGAAATCCTGGTTTGTCATGATACAGAGCTCAAATGGCATTGCTGCATCACTGAAATCTTAATGGAAACTCAGGGAAGAAAAGCACGACTCAGTTTTGTTAACTGAGCAGAGCAGAAAGGAAAAGTGAAAGTCTATGGATACATACTAATCATTTCTGGCACAAAAACAATCACATTCTTCTGCAGAAAACTTATGAATTACTAGCCATTTTTTAATTCAACCCTTACAGAATTCATTCACAGTAGAATTTTAAGAGTCACAGTTTTCCACAACTCTCTAGCCATAAACCAATATTTACTTAGCAAGAACTTTGTCATTTGTTTAGTAAGCTTTCTGAAACCAACACATCAAGCCATAGAAAATGAAAAACAAAAGGCTAATAACATTGGGCACAATCCACAAACAACATGTTTAAGTAAACATAGGCACATACCATTGGCTAAATTCTAACACACTAACACAGTAGCAGAGGGGTCAAGGTTCAGAGTTTAATATAGTAAACTTTCATAATATAACTTTAAAAACTTTACCAAGCCAAAGCTAATTTTAAAATTCTATGTTTGTATAAAAAGGTAATATAAAGAATGGAACTGGAAATTTGAAACATCTGTAATACATGAATTCAAAGAAATACCATGTGTCTCAATACTTAGAAAATATGACACAGTTTCCAGTCAAAATTATATTTCAGAAAATATATGAAAAAGCTAAAATCTTAATGAAGTGATAAGTAAAGATTAAAAATAACTAAGTGCCTCTTTATAAGTACTTTTCTTGAGTTAATGTGTAGAAAACAATCTTGATGGGAACAACACTAAAAAAGAAACTGGCATGTTACACACCTATGATGCAAATTAGCATTTAATGTTGAGAAGCCAATTCCATGTTACAGGAAACCATACAAGATCTAAAAGCCCAGGTATATAGTATTGACAGATATGTAACAATTAGACATTTAAACATTAGAGCATTATAATAAGACCACGTACTATCTCCAAAGTACACATTTCTATGGGAGCATCATTTACCTACTCTAACAGAAAACAAATTTTTGTTTTGTTTTGTTTAATGAAGCTTCAGTTTAAACCAGTTTGATAATATAAAATGCAGTTTAAAAGATGTTAGTATTTGACCATAAGATACCAAAGGATAAGACTCAAAATAGTGACCTGAATGACCTAATTATATATGCAAGAAAAAATCATTCAAATCAGGTTTGGCATCTATAATGCAAAACAAATAAAAATAATATAACACAATGTGATAAAACAAAAAGATCTATCAATCTGCTTTGTTCCCTGTTCTTATCCACCATTATGTGATAATGGTGGCAGTGTTTTTCTACCAAATAATAGCAATTAGTACTGGCTGACTGTTTAGGCTAAGCTTCAGCTCAGCTAGACAACTCAAACTCAAAATAATGTAATTGTATAATAAAAATACTATTCCTTCACCTATAAACACAAAAATGCAAAAAGATATAAGAGCCTTACCTTAGCTTTAGATTTTTATCCTAGCTGCCAAGAAAGAAAACTAAATAATCTAGCAAAACAATTTGTTATTGCTTTGTGGAGAAAATCTGGTGTTCTTAACACATAAATGATCACTATGTATGTACACTATACATATTCCTCCCCATCATTAAATTAAAATTGGCAATTTCAGTCTTTAAGCCCACAGATTGTAAAGTAGGCATTTTTGCTGTCCTTAGGGTCAATGTATTTAAGGAGCAAAAACATGAATTTCACCCAATTCATAAAAATGATTCAACAAATAATCTAAATTATAACCAGTTTTTTTAAAACAGCCAAAATTCAAAACATAGAATATTATCTAGTTATTTATATTGGTGAACAGTTCAATTAAACAAATTAAGAGTTTCAATATGAAGCAATGACCTAAAACTAAACCATTAAGAAGTGCTTAGAAAAACGTATCAGAAGATCAAATTATATCTAAATCTAAAACAAAATATAGCATTATACTATTCATAAAGTTCAGCATAAATAAAGGCTGAAACTTTGATGAGGATTCTGATAGATACATAAGAGCCAACAAAATTTTCATTATCAAATGATATAAATTTCCTAGAGCATAAGAAAAACACTAAAAACAAAATTCTTTTTCATTCAATGTAACCCAACAGTAAGAAAAAAAGAACAGTTATCAGATTATCAAATTTTATATTACATAAAGTTTACTTAACTATCAGTATTGGATAGGAGCCATGACTTTTCATATTATAGAGTAAACAAACGATAACTTTCAACTAAAGCAATTACCTGGGCTCTAGACAAACATAACTGAGTAATGGAAACAATATTTTTTCAGACGGGGTAGCAAAAGAAAGAACTACTAAACTCACACAAGAATGTGGAGCCCTCATTGCTCTGACTACTGATTACATCTATGAATAGAATGCTAGAGATAAAGTATTTTGGAAAGGATTTTATTTATCATCATTACTAGTGTTGGGGTAGTGCTTGTGCCACAGCATACATGTATAAGCCAAAGGACAACACTGTGGAACAGGTTCTCTCTTTCCACCATTATGCAGGCTCAAGAGATGAAACTTGGCTCATCAAACTTTCATGGCAAGTGCTTTTGCTCACTGAGCCATCTTGCTGACCGCAGTTTTGAGGATAGAAAAAAAAACAATCATCCACTTTAATGTCAGTTGGCAGTTAATTTTTTTATGTATTTATGTATTGTATATTTATACATTACCATTTAATCATAAAAGGGAATATGGAATCTAAAAGCAAGTCCTTTTTTGGCATGCCATATCTTGTTTAGTTTTAGAAATAGAGCTATTAATACCTACTTATTTGTGTTTTTTGTTACTGTCTGTTGTCAAAGTTTTTGAATGTACAATTCTTGAATGTAAAAATGTTCAGGGATTAACAGGAATTTCTTCTAGGTCTCTGGTGAAAATCTGACAAGATTTCAATGCTATTCTAAAAGTGATACATAAATTTTAAAAACCTCACCCTAAATGCAAATTCTTTTAATATCTAAAATTTTAAATTTGCAGACAAACTTAACTGCAAAGACCTGTGCCATAAACATTGAGGAAAAATTCTTGGTTCTAAATGATTTATATAAATGCTTACTGATATTTGTCGGAAGAAAAATTCAGAAGGAAAGTTATCTTTTTTAGTGTATTTGTAAATTCAACAATATACTCTGTACAGTTCCTGCTCTCAAGAAGCTATTTCAATATGCTTTAAAAATACAAAATGAAAACAAAATTCCTGTCCAGTCCTCAATTTTCTACAACACTGATGAATTTAGAAATCAGAACTTTAATCTCTCAGATACATTGGCTACTGGCATAGAGTAGGTGAAACCATACTGTCCAATTTAATTGTTCAATTTAACCACCGGTGTTTAAAATAAATGCAGCTCTCTTTGTTCATCCAGCTTTGTACTGATAATCATATTGCAGTGTAATAATAGTCTTGGAGAAAAGTTTCCTGTCTTCTGAAGAAACAAGAAGAAAAAAAGGTGTCGGCCACTCTGATGAATCCAAAGAGAAAATATGAAAAAGTTACTAGTCCAAAAAAAAAAAAAAAAAAAAAAAAAAAAAGTCCTTAATAAAACGGAATTACTGCTTCAGCTTTTAGTACTAAGGAGTCATCAGACCCTGCCTCAAGTGTACCCTTCACCTATTAACATTACCTTACTGGGATTCACTTTGAGCCAGTTAGACTTCATTCCGGGGATTTCAGATAGAAAATGAGACATCTGAGGTATTGTTCCTCCTAGATTAGATGAGAAGGAAAAGTATAGCTGTGTGTTGTTTGCTAACTATCCATCTTGACTTTAGTAGAAGAAATAAATAGGACCCATTATCAAGATTTATATTTTGTTGGATTTTTTCTTTTCCTTTTAAAAAAAATCAAACACAAAATACTATTGGCTTTCAAGCATTCACTTTAACTTTCATAAGCAAGGTTATTCATGGAAGGGACTTCAGTTTTTCCTCTAGGCATCTTCAGTATAAAATCCTTTATTCTCAGTTCCAAGAGGCTGCAATGCCAAGGCAGATGGTTTGCATGTGTCAGCATGCAGATCAGAGCATGACTTAAGCAGAAAAAAAAAAAAAAAAGAGTTGACACTGTATGAAGTTGATGCTGCTGCAGTCTTGGAGATGAAGATGCATGCATTCACTGTGTTGGAAGTACATAGGCTCAGTCATAGCTGTCTGTATTCATGTTCACTTTGATACTTGTTAGTGAGCCAAAAGCCAAGCCCAATTCCACACATATTTCACGTTCATTCCTCAAAGTTTAAAAAAAAAAATCTTAAATCTCATACTAACCTTCTGATATCTAAAATATTCACTGCTTCATAAAATTCAGATAAAGCAATTTTAATACTTTATGAAATTTAATACTTTTATGAAAAATAAATCAAATGTATATAAATGATAATTGCTATACAATTTATGAACTTCCAATTTATGAACTTTTTATACACTAGGTAATAGTTACCAAAATATTATGGTCTGTTTTATAATTCTGACTTCATAATTTAGAACTGAGTAACAAAGTAAATGAGTGAATACTAGTAACAAGAAATAATTGGCAGTTTTCTACTTTACCTTTTCCATTTTTCATGCAATTCCCAAGATAGACTAGCAAGAACAATTTTAAAACACAAGTTCTGATAAATTCTACTTCTATACAATAAAGTGACATTTTTTAATCAGGCAATGATAAGTTCATGGACTTCTAATAAACTGTCCCAATAAAACACAGTGCTATTAATATTAACCAAGTTGTCCAAAACATGCAAAGATGACTTCCCAACTCCTAAGTTTCCTGCTTTCTGGTCATTTCTACCAATCTAAAGTGGTAGACACACGCTTTTTCTATCCATACATACTCTAAATATTTTGTCCTTAGAACAGTTGTTTCATAATTTCAGTGCTTCATTTAGACATATCAAAATGATTCCATGAGAACATCACTAGTCAAGTATCTTGGATTTCCAAAGAGTTCATTCCATAAACAATGCTTAAACAACTGTTGCTAAATGTTGTTGATCACAACATGATCTGCATTTGAAAACTGAAACACATCACATCAATCACAGAAGAAGCCATCAGTGCAATAACTGACATATGCATGCTGAAGAATTTGATAAATTAATCCATTGTCATCATTATAAATATTATGCTCTTATTATTAGGCTACACACATTACCAAGACAAACATTTCAATTAATATATTCATACCTTCACTGAATTGGCTCTCTGGTGAGGGTATACTTTCTGATGACACGGGACCAGCTAAACTTGAGCCTTCCACTGCCTGCCTCTTTTCAAAACTAAACTCTGGAAGTCGAGGAGCTTGAGGTCTGGTTTTTCTTGCAGGATTCAAGAAAAAGCAGTAGGCACATCGAAAAGCTGCATAGAATGTTTAGAAAAAAAAAAAATCAACCAAATTTCAAGAACTAATTAGATAACTCACAAGATTACTTTTATAGTCAGACTTGTAATAAATTTATAACTTCTAAATATGTTACCTATTACAATAGGTGTTCTACTCAACATTAATTTTAAGGCATACTGAATTATTACTATGAGAATTCAATTATTAAGTTTAAAGTAGAAATGCTGCAACAAGGTAAATAGCTTAATAAAAAAACTATATAATAATCATTTAAATACTTGACTGAACTTGCTTTTCTAGTCAGTAAAATAATTATATATTTTAAAACCCAGAATCTTGTCCAAGAAGATGTAACATGTTATATTTCTAAAGCATAATTGATCATGTGAGCATTTAATAATGGCTACATGTGAAAATAATTGGTGATCTTAAAAGTAAATGTTAATGCTTAAATTCCCACCCCCAGTAATTAAATTAGACTCCCTATAGGTGGGTGTGGGTAGCAGAACATCTGAGAACAGCTGACTTAGAGGCTGAAACATTATAAAAAGGAATTGAGTTAGATTTTCTCCTTTGGTTTTAGTATTAAATAAGGAGACAATGTTATTATGTACAGTCAAGTACCTAAAATAAAATGATATTACATAGGAGTGGATGAGAATGATATAGTTACAACTATTCAAACCTAACTATCCAAAACTCCTTACCAATGTATTCAAATTCTTCCTTCAAAGCCATGCCATTGTGAGAAAAACACTGCTGACATATGAGAGCGTACCTACACCACAAGGGAAAATAACACACAGGTTACAGCTACAGATAATGCTCACCAGAGAAGGCACTCGGCCATTGTGACTTATATCAAACATGGATGACTATGCCATAATAAATGAATGTTAGCAAATCATTAGCAACACTCCTTAAGCAAAAGCTGAAGTTAACCAAAACCAAAATTTCAACTAGTTTGAAATATAATTTAAGAGTTGGAGTGTAGCTCAGTGATAGAATACCTGCTTAGCATGAGCAAGATCCTGACTTCTTTCCCAGCATCTAATACATAAATACTTTAAAATAAATACAGAGCATAAAACATTTAAATTATACATGTATATAAATAAATGTGTGTGTATGTGTGCATATGTATATAAGAGCACCTATATACATATTACATAGGGAACAGCTGAATATATCCTAAGTTAACAAAAGCAAGTTTAGAGCTTCACAAATGCTTAGCAGTTAAGAACATAACATATACTGCCCTTCAGAGGACCTGAGTTTGACTCCCAGCACCCACATCAGGCAGCTCACAACCACCTGTAACTCCAGCTCCAGGGATTCATGCCTCTAGCTTCTGTGTGCACCTACATTAACATACACAGACACACATACATATACACAACTTAAAAAATAATAAAATAAAATTTTAAACTTTAGCAACAAAACACCTAAGTTTCTCAATGACTTATTCCTGGGGATGGCAGCTTCTAAATTTGTGATTTGATAAGACTGGAAATGATGGAACCTTCTTAGAGATTAAAAATAATTATTATAAAAAATAAAATAAAAAGAAACCCTGAGAAATCTTACAGAAAATAAATACATTTAATTCTTTATAATTAGGGCCAATAATAAAAAATTATATGATGTTGTCCTTATATCTTTCTCACTTAACATCATTCTCATTTTCTGATCTCTAATCATTACTCAACAGATTTTTTGGCTTAATCAAACCATTCTGTTTTGAATTAACATACAACTTATGTTAGCATTAAATATGGCAAGGAGCAAGTAATATAACAATCTGAAAAACATTTGAAAACAGTAAGAGCTAATAATACAAATTGTTTTCAATGCTATTGGAAGTATTTCCCATCACCACCAACAGTGACACACATTTAAAAAATCCATTTCTCAAAAACCTATTGGGTTTTTTCTATTTTTGCTCTCTTCAAGTTTAATAATTTGAACAAAATAATTCAATTCCTCAAAAATGATAGCAGAACTAAAAAGTACAAATACAATCCACAAAACATCACAAATATACACTGGCCAATAATTTTTTTTCATGTTCCTTTATCTACAAGCCAAGCAAACATTACCTGTTCTGTGGACCATCGCCAACTAAATATTCAACAATTCTATCCAGAGCACCTCGTTCTCTGGGAAGAATGGGCCTTGCTAAGGGTGGACCTGGAGGATGAAGGCCTAGCAAATAAATAAAAACACATGAAATTTGTGTGCATAAGATACATACACAAGATTCAATTAAACAACCAAAGTGATTTAGGTGTGTTAGAACATTTAAAAGATTTTAACAAAACAACAAATACTAACTCATAAATCTCTATACAGTATTAAATGTTTAAGGAACCATACTATAAAAATCTACTACATATGTACATCAGAACCACCAACATAATTTGTTAGGATATTAAACTATGTTGGATTCTGTACAAACTAATTTTTAAAATACTCTACTCCTAAAAGCCTATGGTAATACTTTAGAGACCCACTTTGAACTCAAAGTAACAGATCAGGGTTACCTTCCCCCAAAGACTGTAAGAAATATATGAAGTATATTAAGGATTAACAATATATGTACTAAGCAATATAGATTAAATTTCCCTTAGAAAACTAAAAACCAAGACAAACCCCACAACTGCCCCAGTCTTTTGCTTACAGTTTCTAAGCAGGGGTAGGAGGCTAAACCCACAGAAACTATAACTGTCTCCCAGAGTTGAGAGGACAGCACTGGGACTCTGGGGAAACCAATGCAGCTCAAATTCACATGACAGTGCCAAAGAAGAGAGATGACATGAAGAAACAAATCACTTAAGTGTTGTGGAATATTACTTTAACTATGTGTTACATTTGCTTATGTTGTGAAATATCAATTTATGTAAAGGTGTGCTGCATTTGTTTATTTTTATCTGTTTAACTAGGCAAAGATACATTACATTTGTTCATGCTGTATTTGTTTAATTATGTAGATATGTTGTTGTTTTACCTTGCCTGTCTAAGGCATCTGATTGACCTAAGAAAAAGAAAGCTAAATGACCAACAGAGGCAGACAGTAGAGTTGACAGGAAGGCTAGCAGGCAGAGACAGTAAGGAGGAGGAATCTAGGCTGGGGGACAGGGGTAGGGGAGAGAATGGGAGAAATGACCAATGCCAGCCAGCCAGGCAGCTGCCAGACAGACAGACACAGAAGAAACAGGAAAAGTAGGACACACAGAGTGAAAGAAAGGTAAAAGGCCCTGAGTCAAAATGTACATAAGGAAAACAGATTAATTTCAGTAAAAAAAAAATCTAACCAGAAACTAAACTAAGGTCAAGCATTCATAACTAGCAAGTCTTCATGTCATGATTTGGGAGCTGGTTGGTGGCCCAAAAGAAAGCCTGCTACACTTATGTATCTACAGAGGGTCTCCCAAAACACTCAGCAGATGGCTGACTAGCCCATGCATCTTAAAAAAAAAAAAAAAAAAAAAAAAACTACCTTGAAAGTAGAAAGGTCCCCTCCAAAATATTAAAGGAAACAGTGTTCACACACAGTCAGAATGACTGCCTGTTTTTAAGAGCTAGAATAGAAAATCTCAAAAACAAATAATAAAAAAGGAAGAAGAGGAGGAGGAAGAAAATACCCAGTAATGCAAAATTTACAATGTCAGGCATTCAAAAACTACTAGCCATGCAAACAAAAATGCAATGTATATTGAGGGGAAAAAATTGTTTCAGATATGGCTAAATTGGTAGGTAAAAATACTAAAACACTTCCACATGTTTGACAATCTAGTAAAGATATGAGAAAAAACAAGTACCAAAACTAAACTTCACAATTGAAGTCTACAATGTGTAGGATAAAAAAAACACAAAAGATGAGAAAAAGACATTTAGACATTACAAAAGATACTGGTGTACTTGAAGACATAGCAATAGAAACTATACAAAAAGACCAAAAATTAAGGGAGTGGGGAACCAGTAAGTTGTAGTACAATCTCAAATAATCAAATGAACAATCTGTAGGGAAAATAAAAAAATATACATAATTGAAGAATATACAACTTTTTTCCAAATTTGGAAGTTTTAAAGCCACAGATCAAAGAATCTTAACAAATCCCAAACACAGTTTTGTTCACACACCCTAAAAGTAATCAAACTGCTTAGTAGCAGGCCAACAGGGGTACATCACAGAGAAAAAAATGACAACAGTCGAAAATGAAAACTGCCAGACTAGAATCTATATCTGGTATAACATCTTTTTAAACAAAGCAAGAAACAAAACAAAGAATTCATTCCTCATTGGCCAAACTACAAGAATAATTTTTAAAACTCCTTGAGCTCAAAGGAAGTGACAATAGATATAAATTTAAAAAAAAAAAAAAAAAAAAAAAAAAAAGGATGGTCAGCTATTAAAGCACTGGCTGATCTTGCATAGGTCCTGGCCTGGATTTGTTTGCCAGCACCCACATGGAGGCTCACAACCATCCATAACTCCTATCCCACAATATCTGATGCTCTCTTCTGTCCTCTCCGGGAACTAGGCTCACAAACACAGAAGGTTGGGCTTGGTTATGAACACCTTTGATTACAGCACTTGGGAGGCAGGAGCATGTAGAACTCTGTGTACTTAGCAGACTCCAAGCCAGTCAAGACTACATAGTGAGACTGCATAACTGATTAAACAAAAAATAATTGTGAGATTTATAATATGTATAGAAGTAAAATGTAAAATAAAAGAACTAAAATAAATACTAAATAAATAACACAAAAGCCAAAAGAGGGAAAATGTTAAATATATTTTTGTCCTATCTTTAAAACTGTGTGAGATAATGTCATATCACATGAACAACTGTGATTTGAGATATTTTCTAAATCTCAATACAACTACTAAAATCACATACCCAAAAAAGGGTTACAAATAATACAGCAGTGAAAAAAAAAAATTAAATGTAGTCATAAAAAATTTCAGTTCAAAAGGAGGCAGGAAATGAGGAGGAGGTTATCACAACTGAAACATAATCACTGCATCTTGGAGCAGCCCATGGTGAAACAGGCTCTCAGACAAGATACAGAAGCAACTCTCAACATACTGTATAAATGCTTTTAAGAAAAGCATTTATAAGGTAAATAAATAAATTTTAAGTAAAAGAAAAATATAAAAGTATGCTAACACTAAGCATAAGAAACTTTAAATTTAGACTATGAAGTTCACAAGGACAAAGGCATCAACTTATCATCTAGGTACTAGCAAGGTGGCTCAATGGGTAAAGGTGCTTACCACCAAACCTGATGATGTGAGCTCAATCTCTGGAACCCATGTGGGGGAGAGAGCGTACTCCAGCAAATCATCTTCTGACCTCCATACACATGTACCCAACCATGCACACATACCCATAAATAAATAAATGTTACGGTTCTTCCTTAAAGAACCAGGCCAAACATTTAAGGCATCATAACAGAACTTCAAACACATAAAACAAAAGCTAATACAAATTCAAGAAAAGATAGACAAATATAAAAGTATAGTTGAAGATTTTAACATTTTCCTACCAATAATTGTTTTTAAAAATGAAATCTACATAAAATCAGAAAAACAAAGACGTGAATACTCACTACTACCAGCTTTACCCAACAGGAACAATTACCAAGACATAATGGGTCATTAAACAAGTCTCAATATGTTTAATCAGATCCAAACAGCACACAGTATAATCTGACTACAAAAGAATCAGCAACAGAAAACATCTTAAAGCCCACCAAACACTTAAGACTAACTAATATTTCTCACTAATTCAGGATGCAAAGCAAAATCAAAACAAAAATTAGAAAAAATTTAGCAAAATTAGAAAGAAAAGCAAACATAAAAATATATGTGTGGCAAATATAGTACTTAGGCAAACATTCTACCACTAAGCTACATCCCCAGTTTTCAAATTAGATTTTGAAAACATTTATATCAACTTAACTTGCTGAAGTACTTTACTTTTACATATTTTAAAGTGAACAGGTCCACAAAGCAATCTGGATACATAAAAGCTAACTGCAACTTGGTTAAATAACTTGGCAACTTTTAAATTAACACATCTTAATATTCATGTTATCATGAGGAAGAGTAAATAACAAACATCAAAAGCAATTATTGCAGGAATACTGGGCGTTTTTACACAGTTTGGCAAATTATCAAGTACCTGTTGGTTATTAATTTTCAAACATATGGGAGCACTGTGGTAATATACATTAAAATGATTCTCTCACAAACACGTTGAATAGAAAAATGAATTATTAATTTCCTCTATAATAGATTATTTAAATCATTCATATTTTTGGCAATATTCAATATAAACAGTATTTCCACAGAAACTAATTAGAAACTTGGGCAAAACATGCTTCACTTACATGCACATGAAATTTAAGCTACATTTGCTTATAAATCTCAATTCCATACAGTGTTATCCTTACAACTATATAAGTGGTTAAGTTCATGTGAGTCAAAGACTCTCACTGGAAGTTCTTACATTCATAACCAAAACTTGAATTTACAGACCACAGGTATCTCACATCACCTAGATAACAACTGAAAAATCAATCATTTTCAATCCATTAAACTTCCTCAAGTTCATAAAACATATGACTATTTTTATCATTACACATAAAATTGAGGTATTATTAAAATTATTTTAAATACTAAGATTTTAATGAATTTGATCTGTAGTCAGTTTTTTTTAATTTGTAAACCAATAGCTTCTTAGTCTTCTAATATCTTAGTTGCATTTTTACAGTAACACAAGCAAGGATCTACCGCAAATAACATTGGGGCTTTTTTATTTACATCAATACTCTAATTACCCACCTGATCAAAGTAGTTGTCTACTCTCAAAATTATTACTCTATTTATATAGTAGCAATTAATCATGAAATACTAAAGTACCTGCATTAGAATTAAATAAAATAGTTTACTCTCATTTAATAATTGGATGTAGAAATCTACATGAAACAATGTCATTTGCTAAGCAGTGAATAGATTTCCATGCCCTAATCACACTTCCAAAGTAGCTCACCATATGTTAGTTACATCGAGTAAAATCTACAGATCACACACTTAGTAGAACTTAAAAGGAACCTATCAGAAAATACTATAGTTCCATGACTTAGGAAGAAAAAATCTATTGCTCATATTTACAAAAGTAGTATCAGGCACTATAATGCTTGAATATTTTTCCTGAAAAATGGTCACTGTATTATCTTAGTGTTTACATGAGGAATTAGCAAAGAATATGAGTACTTGCTAAAGTGTTCTCCTCTTTCCCTACCACATATAAATCTGAAGCCATTCTAAAAATTGAATATAAAAAGATAATGCTACACTGTAGACTACAGAATGCTACAAAGTTTTATTGCCATTTAAACAAAGAAGCCATAACAGTTAAATGAGCTCAAGAAATAGGTTTTGGTATCACAAGGTGCCAGCTGTAAAGAGTTATAGCTAATTGAATATGGAACTCCTGCTTAATCAGATAACTGCTCTGCTATTTCCAAATGAAATGCCATTTCCATACTGTCTGAAAATGGCCCATTTTATTGGTAACCAGAGAAAACAATATAAACTGTAAATAACATTAAGTGCTCTGTTTACCCATTCCAGGCACTGAAGTAGCAGGGGATCCAAGGCGTCTGGATAAGGCTGGAGCAATGGTCCTTTCTGGAGGTCCCCCAGGAGCTGAGGCATCCTTTGATGGCCCAGGAGACACTGGAACTTGTGGAGGAGGGCCTTGACTAGAGCTTGCTGGTGCTGGAGAAAGGTTTCTTTGAGCTGCAGTTCGCTGACGAATCTCTGAGAAAGTAAGTATAATCTAGACTTAATGTCTAATATACCACATTAGCCCTAACCATAAATATTTGCTATATCTAACCACTTAATACTGCAATTTTACATAACAGCAAAACTAGAGAACTTTTATAAACCCATAATTCAATTGTACATATTTCTACAACAAAATTAGCCAGGTGGTGGTAGTGTACATCTTTAATCCCAGCACTCAGGAGGTAAAAACAGGCTGATCTCTGTAAGTTCAAGGCCAGCCTGATCTACAGAGTGAGTTCCAAGACAGCCAAGACTATTATGCAGAGAAAGCTTGTCTTGGAAAAAATGAAAATACCTTGATTTGTTTATTTACTGACATTTTAAAAGTAAATTCAATATAATAAAGTCACTACCCAGGTATGGGTCACATCTTTTTATAAGCCTTAACTATGATATGAAAAAGGAAACATCAGAATTAGTGAAAATTTCAAACAGTAGATTTGCTTTTCAAGACTAAAAATAACAATTTTAATACAGAAATACATACATGTATATTTTGGAATAATATAATAATTTAAGTAGTCATAAAAATGCTCCTCAAAAGGTATGTTTTGCTATTTAGGTACCTATTCCTTCATACTATGGTTACCTTTTGGGCACATTTTATTTGTGCCAATACATTCAGAGAAGGAAAACTTCCATTGTGCATACATAGTATTTTGTCATACAGAAACCTTTGCTTTCAGTTTTAGAAATTACAAGATTCTCTATAGCAGAGATTGGTCAAGTGTGCCAAATTTAAGGAGATTGGTCAAGTGTGCCAAATTTAAGCTGCTGCCTGGTTTTGTAGTTTTATTGGATGACAGTCTGTCTCTTGTTTACATATTATATACAGCTGCTTTCAAACAGTTGCAATATTGCAAAAAAGGACCATATGGTTCTCCAAGCTATTTACTAACTAGCTATACAGAGTATTTCATGATCCTTACTAGATGACAAATGAAATTCTAACATCCCCTTTTACACCTTAGCATTAGATATCAAAGAGACCCTTTGTAACTGTTTAAATTCTATTTATCACATTAAAGTGCCATGAACTGAAATTATTGGGCTGAAACTAAAAATGTCATATGCTCATTGGCCTAAACTGTAAAAGTGCATGAAACACTTTGGATATGGATTCTACCTGATAGTTTAAAAAAAAAGTATTAGAACACACATATCATAGGGAACATATATCAAACTCTGTAGGTAACTGAGAAGGCCTGGAACTTCTGGTCCTCCTGCCTCCATCTCCCTGGAATGAATTAGAGGCATGAAGCATCAGGCCCAGGACTTCACTAGGCAAACACTCTACAAACTGAGCTACACTCCAACCTTAAAATAAACTCTTGACAGAAGGGTGGGTTAATACTTTTACTAATAATCAGGCAACAAAATAATAAAATACACATATTCATTTATATATTAAATGTTTCATAAATTATTTCTGAGTGTCTTCAGTGAAAATGTAACTATGTTTTAAAAATCTGTATCTGTACCTTTCTGTTAATTCTTAAGCTGAATATTCTATAATGAAAATAACTATAATTTTATTTTTCAAAATTCACCTAGGACTTTCCAATAGTGATCTGAAAATCAACTCCTAGCTTATGGACTATTCATCAAAGATAGCAATACTGGAAAGACTGTGCAAGTACACAGTTGCTCACAGATTCTCACATAAAAAGGGCACCATTCTTAGAAATTATACTACCAGACATTATTTTTATAATGTCTCTCAAGAGTCTTGGTAGATAATCTAGGTGATTTATTAACTCTTCCTTTCACACCCTACTTTCCAAATATAATCACCATCAAACCATGCCAATCTACTTTCTCTAGCTAGTCCAGTTGTTCTCAATCTTCCCAATGCTGGACCCTTTAATACAGTGCCTCTCTTGTTGTGGTGACCACCAACCATAAAATGTCCATTGCTACTTAATAACTATAATTTTGCTGTTACGAATCATAATGTAAATATCTGATATGCAACCCTATGAATGGGTCATTTAACCCTCTCAAAGAGGCCATTTCCCATAGGTTGAGAACCGCTGTTCTAGTTGCTTCTTTTTCATTTACGTTTGTATGATTCATGCACTCCTCTCATGTCTATACTAGATTATATCTTAAATTTATATATCTCAGCTTTGTTCTCTGTTCTATCTAATCTCTAGGCTTAAAAAAGAAAAAAAAAAAGCCTTCTTGATTTAGATTTCACTTACTCATGGTGAGGAGTAAGAGGAACACTCATCCAAGCTGGTGAAACTGCAACCTTATACAGCCACTATGGAAATCAGCATCACAATGTTCCTAGGGAATCGATTTACCTCAAGATCCAGCTATAGCGCTCTTGGGCAGATAGACCCATGTCTGTCGCCATGCACAAAATTCAAGTCCAAATGGATCAAAGACATCAACATCAATCCAGCCACATTGAACCTCTTAGAAGAGAAAATAGGAGGTACCCTTGAACAAACTGGTATAGGAGATGGCTTTCTGAACATAATTCAAGGAGCACAGACACTGAGAGAAACAATAAATGGGAACTCTTCAAACTTAGAAGCTTCTGTAAGGCAAAGGACACAGTGGACAAGACCAAACGGCAGCCCACTGACTGGGAAAAGATTTTCACCAATCCTACATCCGACAAAGGGCTGATCTCCAAAATATACAAAGAACTCAAGAAACTAGTCAACAAAACACCAAATAACCCTATTTAAAAAATGGGGTACAGAACTGAAGAAAGAATTCTCAATGGAGGAAATCAAAAAGGCTGAAAGACACTTAAGAAAGTGCTCCACATCCTTAGCTATCAGGGAAATGCAAATCAAAACAACTTTGAGATACCATCTTACCCCTGCCAGAATGGCTAAAATTAGAAACACCAATGATGACTTATGTTGGAGAGGATGTAGAGAAAGGGGAACACTCCTCCACTGCTGGTGGGAGTGCAAACTCATACAGCCATTTTGGAGATCAGTATGACGGTTCCTCAGGAAAATGGGAATTAGTTTACCACAGGACCCGGCAATCCCCCTCTTAGGCATATACCCAAATGATCCACATCCACGCAACAAAGACATCTGTTCAAACTATGTTCATAGCAGCACTATTTGTAATAGCAAGAACCTGGAAGCAACCTAGATGCCCCTCAATTGAAGAATGGATAATGACGATGTGGCACATCTACACAATGGAACATTACTCTGCAGAAAAACCAATGGTATCTTGAAATTCGCAGGCAAGTGGATGGCACTTGAAGAAACCATCCTGAATGAGGTAACCCAGTCACAAAAAGAGGAACACAGTATGAGCAAAGGATCACCAGCCTATAATTCACACCACCAGAGGAACTAGGATACAAGGTATATTCTAAGAGATTCATATAAAGTCCCTCACAGAATTGGGAAGGGACAAGTCTCCCAGAGCACAGGGGAAGTGGGGGGGGCAGCAAATGGAAAGAGAAGTAGGAGAAAATGAGGGGGAGAAAAGGAAAACATATGAAACCAGGAAGATTGAGCCCGGTTAGGAATAGAAGACAGGAGAGAGAGAGAGAGAGAGAGAGAGAGAGAGAGAGAGAGAGAGAGAGAGAACATAAAACAGGGAGCCAATATTGGTTTGAAGATAAAATTGAACACAAAGAAAGGTCTAGAGAACTACAAGACTGCCACCAACTAACAATTTGAGCTTCCGTGGAAAGGCTACCATAAATGCCCTTCCCGGATAGTGAGATCAACAACTAACTTATCCATGGAGCCCTCAACTAATGCCTGTTGGAAACAGGAGCAGACACCCACACATAAACACTGAGTTGAAGTAGAACCCAGATGCAGATGGAGAGGACAAGACCAGGCGGCAGAAACACATAGAGACAGCTTACCTGAACAAGGAGAAGCTAACGGGCCACCATACTGATAGCTGGGAAGCCAGCATGGGACTGACTCAGGACCCCCTGAATACGGGTCTCAGCCAGAAGGACTGAACAGTCTAAGGGACCTCAGACAGTGGAGCCAGGATGTATCCGTGGTGCACAAAAGAACCTTGAGAACATATCCCCCATGGAGTGATAACTGCCTTAACCTAGAGACAGGAGAGAAGCCCTAGGCCCTACTTCACATGACCTGTCAGATCTACATGACCCCAACTGGATGGCATTCCCCTACATATGAAATTGGGTTGGGGGATGGGAAGGGAGGGTGGTTAGGGTGCATGTGAGAGGGCAGAGAGGGTAACAGGGAGGGAGTGAGGAGAGAGGGAGGAAGGGAGGGAGGGGGGAGGGAGTGAGTGAGGGAGAGGGAACTGGGATCGACATGTAAAATAATAAATTAAATAAAAAAAATGCTTTGACTACAAAATTTAAGTTCAAGGACAAGTTATTGGGGAAAAGGATTTCTATTTTTGTCTCCACAGAAAATGAAAAGCTATGGATTCCTTCCAGACTAATGTGGTTTGATCAAGCCAGACTGCCTGAAATAGAGTACCAGGTGATCCTACATTCAAAACAGCTGGACAAAGCAGCCTTACAGACTAGAGCCATGATTTCTACATCTTCTTAGAATCCCCCATGACAGTGCCCCTTACCAGCAGGAAGTAGTTTGGAAAGAACAACGCCCAAATTCCCAAATATTGTCTATAAATGTTTGTTTTCATTTCAATGGACTTGGTTATATAAAATAAATAAATAAAAGAATTATTTCATATCTGTTCTTCAAACCCCAACTATATCTCCCCCAAATATAAAAAACAAGATACAGAAGACAAGCATAGTGGTATATGCCTATATTCCCAAAGGATGAATCAAGAGGATTACCATGTTCAAAACCACCATAGGTTACAGTGTGAGACCTTACCTTAATACAATCAAAAGACAATTCCCACTCCCCATCTATATCTACCTTTGTCTCTAGGGCAGAACTGTCACCAACTCTTATCAAAAGCCAACCCTTTCTACTTATAAACTAGATCACATCTCCTCTTGCCTATTCATG